TTTGATGTCTGTCTTTTCTATTTCCAGATCACTGAGGCGATATTTAGAAAGAATAAGTTTTCTTTTAATAGTTTTAATAATGGATATTTGTCTGATTCTGTTTAGGGCTGAATGTCATTGAAGTTTAGTTTGAGGTCAATTCAGTCTTTAGTTTTTGGTCATGATTATATTTGAGTGTTTCGTCAGTGTGTTTGTGGAGGTTTTGTTCTCTCAGTATTTTTAGCATCAGCTTCTCTCTGTAGATTCTCTGTCCTGGTTTTTGGTGTCAGTTTTTAATCTTCAGAGTCTGACAGCCGTATCTGATCATCTGTACTGTACGCTCAAATTAATACTCTCAGCTCATTAATAAAGCAGCCCAATTATAATACTCCATCATCGTCATCATAACTGTGGTCTATTAGCAGTACTGAATAGTGAACAATTTGTGTGCAGTGACAAAGGAAACGTACATTATTTTTACCTCACTTGGTATCTTTGTAGAAAGACTTTTGTCATATATGTTTGTTTTATTATTGTGTAATATAATTCAAATTTTTTATATTTTTTTATATATATATATATATATATATATATATATATATATATATATATATATATATATACACACAGCTAAAGTCAGAATTATTTGCCCCCCTTAATTTTTTTTTTCTTTTTCCAATACCCAAATGATGATAACAGATTCAGGAAATGTTCACAGTATGTCTGATAATATTTTTTTTCTTCTGGAGAAAGTCTTATTTGTTTTATTTCGGCTAGAATAAAAGCAGTTTTTAATTTTTTAAACACCATTTTATATATATTTGTATATATATATATATATATATATATATATATATATATATATATATATATATATATACATATTTATATATGTACAATGTATATATATCTTTTTTTTTCATTAATTTATTTATTCAATTTCCTTCAGCTTAGTCCCTTTATTAATCAGGAATTGCCACGGTGCAATTAACCTCCAACTATTCCAGCTTTTGTTTTACACAGCTGATTCCCTTCCAGCTGCAACACAGTACTGGGAAACATGCATACACTATGGCCAATTTAGGCACAGGAAAGTTTATTTATATAGCACATTTCGTACACAGTGGCAATTCAAATTGCTTTACATAATCAGGAATAAAAAAGACACGTGTAAGAGAATAAAAACAAATAATAAAAATTATCTTCTTTATTTTTTATTTTGCCTTGCTTTGCCTAAAATGTAGTTGATCAGTTCCCCTATAGCGCATGTGTTTGGACTGTGGGGGAAACCGGAGCACCTGGAGGAAACCCACGCCAACACGGGGAGAACATGCAAACTCCACACAGAAACACCAACTGACCCAGCCGAGACTCAAACCAGAGACCTTCTTGCTGTGAGGCCACAGTGTTGAACCTGAGCCACCGTGTCGGCCCTTTTTAATATTTTATTTTATTTACATGTACTTTTAATTTTCAAATAAAACTTTATGGGTGCTTTGACACGGTTTTGGTCCACACCTGGGTTTGTTTGACGTCAGAGTATGGTATGTTTAGCTAGTGTGAACGTGTCTTCTTAACTCGGGTGCGCACCCATGAACCATACCCGAGTCCACATCACGCAAACTCTAGTCTGGTTCACTTCTGGTATAAATGCAATTGTACCAAAAAACAGAAGTGAACCGCCAACTGTACAACAAACTACCTTTTTGAAAATACCGGTAAATTCGTTCTGGCTATTTTCCGGAAAGAGAAGTTGTAACATTACCGACAATTTGCCGGAATGCTGCGCTGTGTGAATGCAGAAGGAAGATTGCCGTAATAAGCGCGTGCACGTCTAGAACGTGCTGACGTGAGACGTCTGCTTTAGCCAATCACAACAGTCAGACGCATTTACGTCCGCGCGGTTTGTGAGAATAAAAGCCTTTGAATATTTTTCCAGACACATTTAGCTGCTAGAAGTTAGTCAGATCACGTTTATATGTTCTTCTTAATGCCAACTGTGTAAATAATCATCGATGAGATGCTTATGATAAGCCGTTGTTTGTTTACCTTCAAGCTTTGCGTGTGCCTGTGAAACAGCCTGTGAGCGCCTGCACACGCACATTTTATGAACATCTCGACATGCGAAAGTGATCCTGCGAAAGTTGTTCACAATATTGATCATCCACAGAGTTTGTGACGTAGTCAAATGTTTACAAACACAAGCGCAGCCGTTTAAAGCTGATTTGTGGTGAATGATGTCAGAATTTACCGGTATTTTGGAATGGATGTGTGAATGCTCTTTTCCGGAAAATTTCCGTAACGTCCTCGCCTGTGTGAACAGCGCTTTTTTTGAATATACCGGTAAAGTCGTTCCGGAAATTTTCCAGATATTTACCGGTATCACTGTGTGAAAGGGGCTAATGTCTGCTTGTGTCCTCCAAAAACAGCTTCTGAAGAGCATGTTAAATCTTAAAGAGACTTTGCTAGCAAGCAGTGTTGTGATCACATGGGCTTTGCACGCTGGCGCTGGACACTGCTGGATAGAATAGCTGTAACGGAATTTAGAGCATCAGACTGCTTATATCAGAGATTTTTAATGCAGTCCGATATAGTTTTTGGGCTGATATTGGACCTATTTCCGATATCAATATCAATCGGGACATCCCTAATTAGATCCAGTGGAAAAACCTTGATGACCAGTCCGACGAGCACAGCTCTCACCTGGGTAGATAACTGCCTGGAGCTTAGACATCCATACGCTGCAGTACATGCCAGTGTGTGTGTGTGTGTGTTTACGGCGATGTAGTATGGATGGAGAGTTTTTCAGAAACGCTGGGTGGACGTGGATCATTTTCATTCTAAAACACTGTTTTAAAACTAAAATGTATTAGTGTAAATGGGGCCTTCTGAACCGTCTGAACTCTTACCTCTTGTTAATCGTAAATATATGCACCAAAGCTTTGAAGTTTGGTAATCATTCAAACTGGATTAATCCCTTAAACTGGACTAGATCTATGTTAAGCTGCTTAGTGATCTATGTTAAGCTGACACGATCTGCATTATAGAGGCGCAGCAGAAATAAAGATGAATTGAGTTGAGAAAGTGGAGGCAGCAGTTCAGGGGTTAAAGACTCCTGCATTCTTTGAGTGTGTTTTCCATGTCCATAATCAGCCCAGTAAACACAGCTTAGGCGGATGATCAGGCGGATGAACACATAAAGGGCAGCGGGATGGAAATAGCAGCATGATTTTTCCAGAAGTCTCTAAAAGCAGCTGAAGTACCTGTTGTTTTCTGCGGTCCTTTTAAAGGCTTTTCTCAGGCTGATTCTGTCCTGGAGGAGAAATAAACCAGGCCGGAGCGAGCGGGTATTTATATCAGCCCTCCGCTGGAGATCCCGCTCCAATTAACTGCTAATTAACTTTTGATCAGCTGAGGGAGGAGGAGGTGTTTCAGGCTGAGCTCCAGAGGAGGACAGGCCTACTTTACTGATGTGTTTCTGGAGGTCCAGCTAAAGCAGATTACTAATGCTTAATGAAGAGCATGAGGGGTGTATATTAAGATCAGTTAACATCTGATGGGTGAGCAGATTAATGCTGATGAACTGATCAAACTCACTTTATTTGATTGCTTTATATTATGATAACTCAGTTGAAGAGCGTGTTATTCGGCCTCCTTTAAAATGTAATGATTTTGATAATGTCTTTCCTTTTATATTTATTATCTGGAGAAAGACTAGGTTTTTACAGTTTAGCCGGAATATGTGTATTTTTGAAATATTGCATATTGTAAAATTATTGTGTGTGTGCGTGTGTGTGTGTGCAAGTGTGTATGTGTGTGAGAGAAAGAGTCTGTACACTGTACACTGTATACACTGTACATGTATCTGTGTGTGTGTGTCTGTATATGCATGTGTGTTTGTGTATGCATGAATCTGTGTGTCTGTATGCGTGTGTGTGTGTGTGTGTGTATATATGCATGTGTCTTTGTGTGTCTATATGCATGCATCTGAGTGTGTGAGCGTGTATTTCTGTGTGTGTGTGTGTGTGTGTGTATGCATGTGTCTTTGTGTGTGTCTATATGCATGCATCTTAGTGTGTGAGCATGTATTTCTCTCTCTCTGTGTGTGTGTGTGTGTGTGTGTGTGTGTGTGTGTGTGTGGCTTTGTGTCTTTGTGTGTGCATGTGTCTGTGTGTCTATATGCATGTGTGTGTGTGTGTGTGTGTGTGTGTGTGTTTGTGTGTGTGTGTGTGCGTGCATGCGTGTGTGTACAGGCCATATTTAGCATGTGGTGTATTCCCTCTGTCTCTGTAATGTCAGGGTTCAGTGTGTGTGTCCTTATATAGTCTTGTGCTGTGGGTAGTGTGTGTGTGTGTGTGTGTGTGTGTGTGTGTGTGTGTGTGTGTGTGTGTGTGTGTGTGTGTGTGTGTGTGTGTGTGTGTGTGAATTGGACAAACTTCATGTTCAGCCCAGATCTGATGAGATCTTCATGTGTGTTTCTGGAGTTTTCCCTCAGTTTAGTTTTGTCGTGTATTCAGACATTCTCTGTCATTATTAGCATGCTCACTGTCCACACACACACTGTTGCAGTGCACTATTATTAATGTTGTTTATCTGGAGAATCTTTAAAGGGATTGTTTCTAAATGTCAATCCTTCAACAACTGTTGAGTTTTGATCAAAAGTAAATCATGGTATATTTGTCTTATATCATGTGTGTTAAATTGTGGTTGATGCCTGTTTATTGTTATAAACCTGTTTATTAATTAAAAGTGTTCAACATGATATTTCTATAATGATTATGTATGTTTGTTGTGTCTATATTAAAATGGGAAATGCTATCTGAAATGGATGCAGGATTGTGTTTTAGTGTAAGTGCTGCTGACTTGTTCACTGTGATGATCCTGCTATAGACACAGATCTGTGGGCTTTCCTGACAGTATTCTGTAACGTCTAAACTCCGCCTCCTTTCTCTTGCTCATGAATATGCATGAATATGGATTTACTGAATATGTATTGATCATCTCTCCTCTTTCTCTTGCAGCCGGAGAACCTGCAGAAGACGTGGCTGCGCGAGTTCTGTCAGGTAAGAAGCTTGGTTTATTTTGATGGTCCCTTTAATGCGCTTTGTTGAATTGAGTTACACTGCGTCTACACACCAACTCATTCTCATTAGATTATAAGCAGACTGTTAGGGTTGGAGTTAGTGTAAGTTGACATGTACCTGCCAAGTTTTCTCTAGTCAAATGTCTGTTGAAGGAGCAGAATCAGCAGATATTAAGCAGACAGTCTACTGATACTCTATTGAGAAGTCAACAAAATGTGCCATAGAGACCATCAGAATAAAGTCTTACCAGAAACCGTTTACTGAAAGTAGAGACCTGCTTCAGACAGATTTACGGTAGAGTCTAGATCAGATATGCGGCCGGCCGGAAGTGCGATATGCACAGTAATATAGCAGCATTTTCTATGACACTGTATAGCAGTAATGAATATTTTAACAGGTCTGTGACGGTTGGGTTTAGGGTTGGGGTGGGGGTAGCCATTAAAAATGTAATTTATTGGGTAATTTAATGGATAGCATAAATAATAACTGGTACAGCTACTGTTTTTATGTTATTTTGAGGGTTGGGGTGGGGGTGGACGTTAATAAAAATACAAAAAATGGTAAATTTTATAAATAATTCTCGATAACTTCCAGCCGCAGCCATATCCGACCTAGCAACAACCCAGATTTATCAGTCCTGCTCCTGCAAAAATCATTTTCTCCCAGCCGCAGCGTTTAGGTTTAGTCCTGCTCCTGCACATAAAAGCCCGCAGGAAAACATATCAGTAGTTTTACTTTCCTCCGCTACTCTGTTATTGGTTTCACATGCTTTCCTTTTAAATATAAATAATAAAGAAATGGAAAATAAACCAATATGTTGTTTTATTTGAGTTCAATTAAATAAAATGATGAACGGGACGTCACGGTGGTGCGATCTCCTCACAGCAAGATGATCACTGATGCGAGCCCCACCTGGGTCAGTTGGTGTTTCTGTGTGGAGTTTGCATGTTCTCCCTGCGTTCGAGTGGGTTTCCTCCGGGTGCTCCGGTTTCCCCCACAGTCCAAACACATGCACTATAGGGGAACTGATCAACTGAACTTAATTGGCCATAGTGTATGAGTGTGAATGCAAGAGTGATTGGGTGTTTCCTAGTGTTGAGTTGAAGCAGTTGGCGGTTCATTCCGCTGTGGCGACCCTGGATTAATAAAGTGACTAAGCCAAAAAGAAGAATGAATGAATTAAATGATGAACATACAGTTAGAGCAGTTAGAAATAGGCCAATAACTTTCCAATGAAAAAAATAATAATGGTTTTTATGACATGCTGCGTTATCCTGCTGGAAGTAGCCATCAGAAGATGGAGACACTGTGCTCATAAAGGGATGGACATGGTCAGCAGCAATACTCAGGTAGGCTGTGGCGTTGATGCTCAATTGGTACTAATGGACCCAAAGAAAATCCCCCCCACACCATTACACCACCACCACCAGCCTGAACCGCTGATACAAGGCAGGATGATCCATGCTTTCATGTTGTTGAGGCCAAATTGTGAGCCGAGCATCCGAATGTGTCAGCAGAAATGGAGACTCATCAGAGCAGCAACGTTTCTCCAATCTTCTATTGTCCAGTTTTGGTGAGTCTGTGTAAATTGTAGCCTCAGTTTCCTGTTCTTAGCTGACAGGAGCGGCACCCGGTGTGCTCTTCTGCTGCTGTAGCCCATCCACCTCAAGGTTGGCCGTGTTGTGTGTTCAGAGATGCTCTTCTGCAGAGCTCGGTTGTAACGAGTGCTTATTTGAGTTACTGTTGCCTTTCTATCAGCTGGAACCAGTCTGGCCATTCTCCTCTGACCTCTGGCCTCATCAACAAGGCATGATGCTCACTTTGAACTGCAGCAGATCGTCTTGACCATGTCTACATGCCTAAATGCAGTGAGCTGCTGCCATGTGATTGCCTGATTAGAAATGTGCATTAACGAGCAGTTAGACAGGCGTACCTAATAAAGTGGCCGGTGAGTGTATATGCATGCATCTAGTGATCACTGTAACTCATGTGATTTAAATGGATTTTTTTCCTCAACAAAACAAAAATGCTTAGAGTTGAAGGTGATTAACCTATATAACCTTATCATAATTATAATTAATTATAGGTTATAAAAATAGAAAGAATAAAAGCTGTCATTTAAAGATCATATTTCACAAGATCTGTTTATTATTGCATACAAGACTTATACTCATAATATCAATTAAACTATTTTACAATTAGAGTGACGAGCTTTGTTTTATTTGTCAAGCTGTCATAACAATGTCATCTCTGCATTAAAAATGTCATAACTGAGCGAATGACACTTAATGACAGTAGTCACAAGCATGCTTAAATTGCATATCATGATTATAAAGGGGTATTATGAACACGCCTTCAAGTAAAGTGTTACCAAATAGGTCATGTAGGTTTCTGTAGCCGCTCAAGCATGAGTAATTGTGTTTCTATCTGAGATGTGGTATTGTACTGCTGATGCTCCTCATGCAGGACTCATTTACTAATCAAACCATGAGCTCTGACCCGCTGTCAGTCCTGTGCTGTATTTACATGCAGAGGACACACACATTTACCTACTGCTCCAACTACTGACCTCACCACAGAGGTCACACACTCACGTCACTCTATTATTGTTGACCAAAAGCTCATTTCACGATGAGGATAATCTTTCACGATACAGTTTTTATAAATGCATATGTTCTAGAAAGTGTACAGAAGGGCTTTATATATTGAATAGGCTTAAATGTTTCAGAAAAGGATTTGATTATTTCGCATTTTATTTTTAACCTTATAAATATAGTAAACAAAATATGACTTTGGATATATTCCACTGTTACTGTTTAGTTTTATGTGGACAGACATTATTATCATTATCATTATTATTATTGTTATTATAACAGTAAATAATTCAGATCACAATTATAGTAAATACAGCCTTTTCGGGCTCTGTTTTAATGATCTAGGCACAAAGTCTAAAGCATTAAGGATGTGTTCGTAACCGCTTTTGCTTTTTTTAAGGATAGATAAATCCGCTCTGTGCCTGGTGCATGGTCTAACAGGGCTGTGCTGATTCTCTTAATGAGCTCTGGCTGTGTTTTGAGCATTTAAACCAATCAGAGTCTCGTTTCTCATTCCCTTTAAGAGTCAGTTGCGTCGCTCCATGGTGCATTTGCTATTTACATGGTGACTCTGTAAGTGTAAAAACTGAACGCTTCACTAGCAAGAACACAGTTAATCAGAGCATCTGCAGCGCGAGGATAAAGAACCAGCCTCCTCCATTCAGCCTCTTTACTTTCTCTTTACTCTTACTCTTTACTCCTTTACTTTGGTGGAGTGAGGAAACGGTGGTAACTCACTCCACTGAACACATCCATTAGCCCACATATTTAATCTCCTTTGTTAAACGCAATGATTTGCTTCAAAACTGTTTCTAAATTCAGTTCTGATCTCCAGCAAAGGAATAAATGAACAATAATAATGAAGTGTGGTCAGAAAACTGAGTTATATCCAAACACACGTCCTGTTCTTATCCCCATATGCTGATGCAGACGTCTCCAAAACCCCACAGCTGGACACATCTACACTTGTGTTTATTATAAATCTGCAGATAATCAATAATACTGATGATAATAATCACATTATACAGATGCAGATGGTCATCAATAAACTGAAGAAGCGCCCCGAGGTGAAGAAGGCATGGAGGCAGTGCTGTTTATACTGATGGAGAAAATCATCATTTCTGGATCATTTTAATCCTTTAATTGTTTTCATCTGTAGAGATATGTGTGTGTTGCTGTTCATCCTGTGTGTGTTCAGCGTTTGGACCTGCAGAGGTGCATAACTAACGTGCTCTGCTGGACTTTAGAGCAGCTTTTAGTTGGTCAATGGTGCTGTTGGTCTGTTTCAGTTCCTCAACATAGCAACGCTCCAACAATGCGCCTTAACACACCTCCTTTATACACCAGCACACACAGGAGTCCACAGAGTGCAGCAAATGGATTTGCTATTTAAACAACGTGACGCAAAATGCGAAAGATACTGTTGCACTGGGCTGAAAATAGCAATAAATCACACCAAACACGTCTTGCGCTTTATTGCACCGGGTGCATGATGGGGGTCTTGTTGTTGAATCACTAAATACTTCCTTTATTGTATGTCACTTTGGACAAAAGCATCTGCTAAATGACTAACGCCCCATTCACACGGGGCTTCAGCATCAACGCTTGACTGAAGGCGTATCTGAAGTTGGGGCTAACGCGATCGTCATAGCAGCGTCAGCCAATGAAATTCAGTCAGCAATAGGCCACTGTCTAGCTGGTGTATTTGCATACAGCGATCTAATTGGCTGACACTTCCGTCGGCGCTTGAAAAGTTGAGCTAGTCCCAACTTCTGCAGCGAGCAACGCCTCTAAGCAGCGCCGACGGATCCACAATGCAGTTCGGCAATGCCTGACATCTCCCTTTCAAAGTGAATCGGATGCGTTGACGATGATGCCCTGTTTGATTAAGGCATAAAAGTAAACACAGTCATCACATATTTCCCAAGTAACACTTTAAGAAAATATCAAACAGTTTTTTTTTACGCCAAAATATAAAATATAAACAATTATAATTCTTGTATTGAGAATTAAGTCGTCACTTCTTGTTGAAATATAAAGCAAAGTTGGCCTCGCTCACTTTACATTACACGCTAAGCAGTTTTCAGAAGTGAAGACTCTTTAGTTTGTGCTTTCTTGCTGCCAGTGTTTATTAAACATAATGCAAGTCCCAATGTTATGGCCTGAAACCTAAAGTGGCAATAAGGTCTTAATGTCTGGAAAGAGTCTGAAACTCCTAGAGGGTCATGAAACTCACTCTCTGATTCCGGTATATAGACCTCTTTCTCTTTGTTGCTGCATGGAGGACGCCATAGAGACCAGTGTCTTTGTTTGTCAGTGGTTTGTTCTGTTGACAATATTGCTTTATATAATTATTGCTGAAGGGGGCTATTATATTGACCCCAAAATGGGTTTAAAACTATTAAAAACTGCTTTTTTTCTAGCTGAAATAAAACTAATGACTTTCTCCAGAAGAATAAATATTAGAGGAAACACTGTGGAAAACTCCTGAATCTGTTCAGCATCATTTGGGAAATATGTAAAGAGAAGTAAAATTCACAGGAGGGCGAATAATTCAGTCTTCAGCTGTACATCTCTTATTATTCCGCTATTCCTCCGACTGTAGTTATACTTAGATTTTCTTTATAGGGCACCTTTAAAAGCAGCTTAAAGTGTCATAAACGGGTCTGAGTATTGACCGCTGACTGCAGGATGATGAGTGGATGGATGATCTCTTCATTAGTGTGTGTTCACTGAGGCTCATCATGGGCTGCGGCTGATGGGAAATCTATAGTTTTACTGCAGTAATAGTCTGATTGAGCAGTAATGCAGCTGTGGAGATCTGCTCTAACTCACTCAAGAACACTGCTGTGGCCTGGAGGAAGCAGATTATAGCGTTAGAGTCCCGGTCGCTGGTTGGACTCCCGGCTGGCTCAGTTACACTACGGCCAGTGTAGTTGATCAGTTCCCCTATAGCGCATGTGTTTGGACTGTGGGGGAAACCGGAGCACCCGGAGGAAACCCACACCAACACGGGGAGAACATGCAAACTCCACACAGAAACACCAACTGACCCAGCCGAGACTCAAACCAGTGACTTGAGTGCTGTGAGGCGATTGTGCTACCTATGATTATTATTATTATTAGAGTGTGTGTTGTAGTGTATTTCCAGTTTATGCATGCACTGTTCGTCAGATGCAGATCTTCAGTGTGTGTGTGTGTGTGTGTGTGTGTGTGTGTGTTTCAGACGGTTCAGTCTCACCGGCCGCAGTTCGTGGCTCTGCACTGTCAGGAGGTCGGAGGGAAAAACTACGAGGCGTCGATGACACACGTGGACAGCTTCATCAAGTGAGTCCTCAACAACATCCGTGTGTGTGTGTGTGTGTGTTTCCATACGCTCATTATTAAAGCTGTCAGAGTCAATATTTACACGCACACTGAATGCACTCACATACACGCTGAACACACTCACACACACTGAACACACGCACACACACACACTCACACACATACACTGAACACACATTAAACGAACACACATATGCATGTACACACACACTGAACACATGTGTGCAAGTGCACACATACACACTCACACACATACATCCTGGACACACACAAACACTGAACACACACACACACACATGCTGAATACATATGTACAGACAAGTACACACACACACACTCACAGACACTGAATGGATATGTACAGATACATACAATTACACACACCTTTAATTATGAGTAGTGAAATGTCAACAGCAGTGGCTCATGTTGAAATCTTACTATATAAGAGAGCGCAGTTAAGCCAAACCAGTAAACCAATATAGTACACACACACACACACACACACACATACACACCTATGCTGTTTACTCAGAACAAACACAAAGCACGAGTCAGAAAGCACATTAGAAACACACACACACACACACACACACACACTTCAGTTTACTGATGTAAAGAGTGCTATAATGTGAACACTACTCTTCATATCAGTAATATCACTGCTCCTCCTGCAGTCATGCCACGACAGGGACGTTCCCTGTTCCCTGTATACACCTCAGCATAGGCTGGGTCAGGTATGGAAAAACCCAAATAGTTTTTTTGTCTTTTCAGTAAATTTAAATCACATATTTGGTAACTTTATAATAACGACACACTATGGCTGCATTTACACTGCGCTGTATGGTCCATGTACATGTAAATAGGAACAAATCACATGAATTGTGATTTACTCGGATCAGATTCGGGTTCATATGTGGAAATGTATCCGGTATGAATGTGATCTGTGTTCTCGTGTCTGCAGTGTAAGCAGGTAGATCAGATTTTCACCTGTCAATGCGAGTCGCACATCATTAAAAAGCATCAGAAATGACGTCAACACTGATGCTTTCATTTCAGAACAGACTTCAGCAGAGTCGCAAACCTTAAATCTCATACAGGAGGACCTAAACGCTCTTATATTGTCATGCAGCACAGGTATTTAAGCATTTTAACAAGAGAGAGTGAGAGAGCTTAATATCCACCATGTAACCATTCATTCATTCATTCATTTTCTTGTCTCTCTTCTTATTATCAGCTGTCAGTCAGCGCCAGCTGTTTTCTTTCTCCAGGGGCCTCATGTATCAACGCTGCGTACGCACAAAAACTTTGCGTACGCCAGGTTTCACGCTCAGAATCGCTCACGTTTGGATTTACTAACAATGAACTGAACGTGGGGATGTGCGCAGCTTCACGGCAGCTTCATGGCTGGCGTACGCACATTTTTTGTGCGTGTCTGTTTTATTTCCATTGGCGACTCCTAGAGGCGGTTGTGTTAAATTCCTCTCTACAAAGTGTCTGAGCCTTGCAATGGCAGCTGTATGAGACGGGTTCATCTAGCAGGTTTATAAGGTTTCCATACCATACAGTTAACCAGCTAAACATTAAAGCACAATCTGCAGCGGTCGCCTGTTTTCCCAATGTAATCTGAGCGATCTACTGCACACACATTGCTATAGAGACACCATCTGAAGATGAATTTGCATGCGTGAATCAGAAACATTTCCATTCAATAAATGTGCAAATAAAATATGATGCACAGACTTATTAATGATTCCTACTTGTCTTTCTCGTGATAAATAGTGGGCAAAATCTGATATGTAGCGGGGGAAAAAAGAGGAAAGAGTTCATCAGACGCTGGATTCGAGCCGAGTTTATGCTCGAACGTGTCAATACATGATCACATGCGTCTTACAAGGTGCACCACTGAGACTGCTAAGAGTTCAGCAACATTTTACAGATATAAACCACACTATTTCCTTTTTTAATTCACTCAGTGCGATGTTCAGACCCAACTGTGTTAACCGCATCAGCTAAACTCTCCCACTCTATTGTTTTCTTTTGTTGTTAATTCCGGAGAACAAACTTGCAAATAACACCGCTTTTCTCCGGTCTACCTCTGAAAGCAGCACCTCCAGTTCACATTCTGTTCAAAGTTTCTCCTCTTGTTTGCTTTTGCCGTTGCTTTTTCGTTGGGTTTTGCCATTAGCATAGTTATTAGCATATTCATACAGGGGAGGAGGCAGGGAGGGGTTTTGTGCTCGTGCATGTTGCGCTCAGTTTCACGTTCATTCGGATGTACAAAAGAATATGCGTGAGATTCGGCGTACGCAGTGTTTCATACATCTGAATTTTTTTCTGCGTACGCACATTTACAGCTTTGTGCGTACGCAATGTTTTAGTAAGATTTCCACGCAAGTCTTCGTACATGAGGCCCCTGGTCATTGCGCCTTTGCCGTGTGCTGTTTAAAGATGCAAGCAGGTCAGCAAAAAAATCAGATACAGTCACAAAATCAGAACTGACCATCAAGATCTGCAGTGTAAATGCAGCCTAATAGTCATTTTTAAGGACTAGCAAATAGTTAATGATAGTGATTTTACATTACTAAATTAAGCAGTGAATTACTTACAAACTAGTTATTTAAGAATAGTTAAAGGGCCACGAAGTCAGGAAAGTGGGTGTGTCCTGCTCTGTTTAGGTGTGAGTGTTGAGTGGTGAAAGAGGGTTAGGTTAGGGTTAGGGTTAGGTAGGGGTTTGCATGAAAAGGGTTTCAGGGCCTGCTCACACTATATCCAAACCATGCCCAGGCCCGTTTCCCGGATCGATTGAGAAGTGTGAGTGCTCTGAATCGGGCTCAGGCATGGTTCACTTGGGCTTTGGCTTAAATATTTAGAGTTGTATGGTAAATATAAGGAGAGACTAGGCGGAATAGCGGTGTTTACTTGTGTTTTGTTGTTAAACTAATTAAAATCTACATTATCGATGCTGTAAAAGGACCTAATGAAACAGAAAATAGTCTTATCAGTCTTTCACCTGAAGATTTTAGCAGCTGAACAACACTTCTGTGCAGATATAACCCATTTGTAACAACAACATCTAACGTTACATCAGCTTTGCGTGAAGCTAAAACAGTTTTAAAACTGAACATGACCTGTCTAAGAGAAACCCTTCAGACATGGTGTCATCCTTTCTCCAGCGTGCAAAGGTAACTCCAATATTGATTCAAGTTTTTAAGAAGTTTTGATTCTCTCTCTTGAACGCGGCGGCGATCAGCGGAGCTGCGTACAGAAGGCTGCACAGTTGTTCAAATCTGCATTTGCTGACAGACAGTTTGGGCTACTTATCGGAATTATGGGAGATGTCGGTCCGACTCTATTTAATTGGATGAACATCATGTTTTAGTTTTATGCCTTACTCAGAATATAAAAACACATATAAACACATTTAGATCATTTACTGTAATCAGCACTATTAGACTGTGAAGAGACTTTCAACCAGCACAACATAAACTGCTTCTGAAGAGCATCACCTGCTGCTGCGTTCATCATTCTTACTGTTCAGTGAAACTGTCGGAGTTTATCAAAGACACAAACCCCCTTCCTGCACCACAGCTGAGCTGCTGTTTGCATGTTACCTGCTTTTTTAAGCCAACAATTGAGTTTGTTCATATTTGACCCAAGGTTGGATTACAACAATCCAGCATTTGTTTAGATTGCATTATTAAACAATGTTATATTCATACACGAATTTGAGGAAACATCGAACACACTTGAGGACAGCTGCTTTAAGTTGAGAAATGTTTCAAGATGACACTGAACTCGAAAGTTTGTGTGTGTTTAGAGAGCTGCTGTCCAGCGACGCTATGAAGGACTTCAACCGAGTGCGGGTTTACCTGGACAAGAACTACACATCGCAGGAGCAGTTCACAGTGAGTCAAGTGTGTGTGTGTGTGTGTGTGTGTGTGTGTGTGTGTGTGTGTGTGTTTCAGCATCATCTGGATGAGCAGATTCACTGTAGGAACACTAGAGGGCGACACTGCCTTTATTTTAATCATCTGCTCAGATCGGGCTTACAGACTTTTCTTGTCAAACATTGTAGATGTGTGTGTGTGTGTGTGTGTGTGTATATAGTTGAATTTACAGACAATATCCTCGGCTATATCGTGATTTATGATCTATCATAATGAATATATGAGAGGGCTTATATATTGCATATTATATTCAGTATTATGTGTTGGTTATGGAGGATTTTGAGATCTGCTGGTTGTTGCTGATGGTAAAACACAGGTTTTGTTTATAACATTTACCTGCTGTTTACTCATGATGATGATCTCCTGTAGTAAACTTCTGCTCTGTCTTCATCACTTCTGAATGATAATCATAATATTTGAGGTCATGAACATGTTATGTCTGCATAACACCAGGTTTGGACTGAACTTGTAATCTCATTAAAGCATTATGTTTTTTTTTTTTATGAGGACACGAGAAGACTTTTTTTATACTTATGAAAGATATAGTTAAAAAATGAAACGGGATAGATAGATAAATTGATAGATAGACGGATGGAAGGATAGATAGATGGACAGACGGATGGACTGATGGATGGATAGATAGATTAATGAATGGATGGATGGACGGACAGACGGACAGATAGATAGATAGATAGATAGATAGATAGATAGATGGATGGATGGATAGACGGATGGATGGATGGATGGATAGACGGATGGATGAATGGATGGATAGATAGACGGATGGATGAATGGATGGATAGATAGACGGATGGATGAATGGATGGATAGATAGATAGATAGACGGACGGACGGATGGATGGATAGATAGATAGATAGATAGATAGATGAATAGATGGATAGATAGATAGATAGATAGATAGATAGATAGATAGATAGATAGATAGATAGATAGATAGATAGATGGATGGATGGATAGATGGATGGATAGATGGATAGATAGATGGATAGATGGATAGATAGATAGATAGGTGGATGGGTGGATAGATAGATAGATAGATAGATAGATAGATAGATAGATGGATGGATGGATAGACGGATGGATGAATGGATGGATAGATAGATGGATGAATGGATGGATAGATAGATAGATAGATAGATAGATAGATGGATGGATGGATAGACGGATGGATGAATGGATGGATAGATAGACGGATGGATGAATGGATGGATAGATAGATAGATAGATAGATAGATAGATAGATAGATAGATAGATGAATAGATGGATAGATGAATAGATAGATAGATAGATAGATAGATAGATAGATAGATAGATAGATAGATAGATAGATAGATAGATAGATAGATAGATAGATAGATAGATAGACGGACGGATGGACGGATAGATAGATAGATAGATGAATAGATGGATAGATGAATAGATGGATAGATGAATAGATAGATAGATAGATAGATAGATGGATAGATAGATGGATAGATAGATGGATAGATAGATGGATAGATAGATGGATAGATAGATGGATAGATAGATAGGTAGGTGGATGGGTAGATAGATAGATAGATAGATAGATAGATAGATAGATAGATAGATAGATAGATAGATAGATAGATAGATAGATAGATAGATAGATAGATAGATGGATGGATGGATAGACGGATGGATGAATGGATGGATAGATAGACGGATGGATGAATGGATGGATAGATAGATAGATAGACGGACGGACGGATGGATGGATAGATAGATAGATAGATAGATGAATAGATGGATAGATGAATAGATAGATAGATAGATAGATAGATAGATAGATAGATAGATAGATAGATAGATAGATAGATGGATAGATAGATAGATGGATAGATAGATGGATAGATAGATGGATAGATAGATGGATAGATGGATAGATAGATAGATAGGTGGATGGGTGGATAGATAGATAGATAGATAGATAGATAGATAGATAGATAGATAGATAGATAGATAGATAGATAGATAGATAGATAGATAGATAGATAGATAGATAGATAGATAGATAGATAGATAGATGGATGGATGGATGGATAGACGGATGGATGAATGGATGGATAGATAGACGGATGGATGAATGGATGGATAGATAGATAGATAGATAGATAGATAGATAGATAGATGGATGGATGGATAGACGGATGGATGAATGGATGGATAGATAGACGGATGGATGAATGGATGGATAGATAGATAGACGGACGGACGGATGGATGGATAGATAGATAGATAGATAGATAGATGAATAGATAGATAGATAGATAGATAGATGGACAGATAGTTGTGCATGTTGAATATGTGGTGATGTCCTGTATTTCTGCTATGATGTTTTGTATCATTGGTTGATTATGGAGTATTTTGAGATCTCAAAAGAAAAAGGTTGGGAACCACTGATCTAAACTATAAGATACTGAACTATGCACACAAGACTATTGCTATACAAGTACTTTCACATCAGATTGAACATGTTTTGCAGGATGTTGTGCAAGAGAGGTATTAAAGGTGAATAAATTGTGCATGATGCTGAAAATATTGTGTTATTTTACTGCTGAACGTCACAAACACATGATGATGATGATGATGATGATGATGATGATGGTGGTGGTGGTGGTGGTGATGATGATGATCTCCTGTAGTAAAACTCATGAGCACTCCTGCACGGTTATCATGATATTTGTGTTTATGAATGTGTTATATCTGAATAAGTACAGTGCTTCCATTAACGATGTGTGTTCGGATTTCTGCTGTGGCCTCTAGATGGAGACAAACATTCATGTATAAACTCACACGCTCATTCGCTCACACAGCATTCAGCTTCGCTATATATCAATATATAATTTCTCAGTGTTCTTAATACTAATGATATTGATTTTAATCCTCATAGGAGATTGATTAAGAGCAAGCGGAGAAGTATTAATGGTGTGTGTGTTGATCAGTACAAGTATTTGGCTACTGTGTTAGATAATAGATGGGTTTTTTCTCTAAATACTGATATTTTATGTAAGAAGAGCCAGCACAGATGAGTTTATTGTTAATCATACTATTTTACATTGCTACTTTGCTACTGTAAATCGCACAACCTGCAGAATTTAAGGTCGTTCAATGTAGATAAATGACTTTTTACAGTTCATACGTTCAGTCACTGAAAAATTTGAGTTGTTTAGGAGGATTGTGAGCCTAGCAGTGAAAATAACAGAGAAATCAGATGATTATACAGTCAGTTATACACTGAAAAACTCATTGGATTTAGTTATTTGGTTGCAACCTATTGATAAGGACTGAATTTAAACAAACAAATTCAACAAAAACAAGTTCAACTTAATTTGTTTCTTTAAATCAGCTCATATAAATTGTTTGCAATTACTCAACTTGAAACAATGCAAATCTATTGCATCAGTTTATCCAGCGCACTATAGACAAGTCTCAAGTAAAGCTCAGAGTATTCTGGCAGATGAATTACATCCTAAGAGTTTTACCTTCTCCTTCTGCTGTTCGGCACAGAACTCCTATTAGTAAAACAACTTTCATTGATCCCCTCTGCTGTTAAGATCTAAATTCAGAGTAGATTTGTATTGTACCATGTAGGAATGCCTACATGACACTGCAATGTTGAATTTTTTTTTGCTATATACTGTATATGTGTGTTTATATATTTATATATATATATATATATATATATATATATATATATATATATATATATATATATATATATATATATATATATATATATAAATACTGTGAAAACTGATGCAAAAGATTTCATAGTGTTAGATTGATTGGGGAGATTTTTGTAAACAATAGAACAAAGATAAATATGAAATACACAGCGCTTTAGGGTTTTAAGGTGGAGTCTATCAATAAATTTTGTTAAGGTGGCAAACTTTATGGTTTTTATTGTTTTATGTGTGTGATATGCTTGTGTGCTCAACCACATTGCTTTTGGGAAATAAATGAAGACAGACTTTACTGAACTAGATTTTAATAAGGTCGTAACAACTGCTAAAGGCAAAATGATTAGAAATTGTAATTTTTAAAAATATATGTACTATATTTACTGTTTTATGGCAAGATTTTTTACAGCATAATATTTTTAACAACTCATCTCTAATAACTGATTTCTCTTCTCTTTGTCATGATGACAGCACATAATATTAGACTAGATATTCTTCCAGATAGCAATGTTCAGCTTTAGGCATGGGATGAAAACCAGTTATATGTTTTACCGCAGTTTGGAAAAGTCAAGGTTTTAAAATCGCCAGATTTTTCTGTTATATCTTTTTGTGTGTGTATGTGTGTGTGTGTGTGTGTGTGTGTGTGTGTGTGTGTGTGTTTTATTTTGACATGTTCTTTTGCAACTATTTAATTAATTCTTTTCAGTATCTCTAGCAAAAAACAACCCTCAACAGCAAAAGCCACTGTTTCAAAACTTTTTCTTTTTTAAATGTTTCTTAATATAAAATGTATTTTGTTTAATGGGGGAAAAGTCAATGTTTTTTAATCCAGACATTTTAAAAGAACAAATATTAGAGCAGAAATCACAATGCAACGATACTGTAAAACAGGGTTTTGTTCCCCCAATGTTACCACAATCTCATACCAGCCTGCAGTGCCTATTCAACTTAGTGACATTTAAAGGCTTCACTAGGGTAATTGGGGTAAAGTTAGGGTAATAAGGCAAGTCATTGTATAACAGTGGTTTGTTCTGTAGACAAGAAAGAAAAAGAAGAAATAAACTTTTATTTAAACTGTTTTATTCTAGCCGAAATAAAACAAATAGGACTTTCTCCAGAAGAAAGAATATTGTAGGAAATACTGTAAAATAAAATCCTAAATCTGATCTCTTATATATCATTTGGGAAATATTTGAAAAGGAAAACAGAATTTCTCAAATGTATTATGATATGC